TGGCTATCAATGTGGAAAATTTGTTGATTTTATATAAAATGAAAATGCCCATCAATTTGGAAATTTCAGCCACATCAAAAGTCCCGTGGAACATCAAAATTCGTGCCTGCGAACTTTTTTTTAATTACCTATGCTTCTCCTTCGTGGAATAAAAGTGACTTACGGCAATGAAACACTTCCTCAATCTGCTCATCTGTTATACTAACAAAATCTTTAGCAAAATATATAGATTCTATATATATTCTTTCTCTGTTGATGGAAGGATAAAAATCATTAATGTCATATTCAATTAATACCAGGTTGATTTTACGTTCAATACGGTTGAACCAGGAGATACATTCACTGGTGTCCTACCATTGATTTACTTGCGATGCTAGTTCATATATATTCTATAAAACATATAGGCTTATAATGCCTAATTCAGTTTTAGTTTGAATACGCGTTTCGCCATTCTAGAGTTAAATCAGATCACTAAACGAAAGAAAGAATTATGTCTGTGTGTTTATTTGTATGTATGCTTAAAATAATTATTCATACTAGTTTTTCACTAAGCTGGCATCTCTCGTAATTAAAGAAGAAATGAAATGAGTCATTTTTCAAAAATACATTAATATTTATTCTGTATCTTTCCTTTATAAATCTTAGTTCATATCGAAAGTTGTTAGCATAATTGTTTAAAGCCATTCTGAAAATGAGAACAGTTTTTTTTTACCTCTAATTCGATTAAAAAACGCAGGCAAAAATATAAAGAAAAGATACAGAATAAATATTAACGACTTTTTTAAAAGTCACTCATTTTCATTCTTTAATCACAAGAATCGGCGGATATCTTTTCGCACTGAAAATATAGAAAGAATCATAAAAAGACATAATAAGAAAATCCTAGAAAAACACACATACCAAAACAGTAATAAAACTCATAAATGATTGTAGAAAACCTAAAAACTGCCCGTTGGAAAATAAATGCCTCACAAAATCTGTGGTATACCAATGCACTATTTCATCCATTGAGAGTCCTAACACTTATAGGATATACATAGGCTCAACGAAGAATAATTTTAAAATTAGATGAAGGCAACACAAGATCTCCTTCAACAATATTCAAAATAGAAATCAGACATCTCTATCCCAATATTTCTGGCATCTAAAAGAAACGAATAAAACACCAAAAGTAAAATGGAAAATAGTAAATAAAACAAGAACTTGTAAAACCTGGGATGACCCATGCCCTTTATGCCTACAGGAAAAACTACACATCATTAAATTCCTAAATAATGAAAAATTATTAAACCATAGGCAGGAGTTAACGGTTTTCTGTCGGCATCAACAAACTTTCGCATTAAGTAATTAGCATAAAGAAAAAAAATCCCATAGCTAAATAAAAGTCTTAAAAGCTTAGCCAAATAATTAAATAGGAAAAACCATCTTTGTAGTCGTCAAAAAACAAAAATAACAAACTAAAATTCAGTGCAATACGATTTGTATATAAAACCCCCACTTGGATAAACAAAAAAATAAATAGATAATCAGATGGACAATAATAAAAGACAATTCTCCAGACACATAACGACTTGTAGGCGCGCCATAAAAATATCCCTCACTGGGAACCAACTAAAGGGTGACCGCTAACATTAGCCTTGAAATAGATACCCAACCCAACCTTAACAAAACCTCTCGGAAGATGATGAATCTATTGATAAGAATTAACTCTCTGACCACTTAACGAAGGAAAATAGTCTAGCCACTCCCACAATAACGAATTTTGTAACGGACCACGCTTAAAAACACACGTAAACCGAAAGATAGCTTATTCCTAAAATTTCGCTTGAAGATGAAACGGGACTAAACACCACAATTCAACTTAATTTTAATAATTATTTGGATGGTTTCGGCTCTTGTTTTTGAAACATAAGAACTCTTATGTAGCGAAGGAATCATATTTTTAATCAAAAAATATTATATATATATATATATATATATATATATATGTGTGTGTGTGTGTGTGTGTGTGTGTGTGTGTAAAAATATAGAGAAAATAGGAAAGAGCTCGTTAGGTAAATAATCCAAATTTCTTAAGTATTTTTGTTATTATTTTAAAAAAAATAGTGCTCGATACAAAAGTAGAGCATAAATATAATTATTTATTTAAAAATATCATTCCAACGCTACAGAAGAGTTCTCATAGTCTTCGGCTCTTATTTTGAAACATGAGAACTCTTACGTAGCGTTGGAATCATATTTTTAAATAAATAATTATATATATATATATATATGTGTGTGTGTGTGTGTGTGTGTGGTTGTTTGGGTGTGTCTGCGTATATATGAGTGTGTGTGCTTAATAACTGTTTGGAGAATGTTAATTAAAATTAGTTATTTTCTACTAAGACCATTCTGCCATCTGTTTTCTTGAATTTTCATATTCTTACACGGACATGGCGAATGTTATTGAAATTCCGAGTTATAAGATGTCCACCCTAAATAAAAATTATCAATGTAAAGTTGTAAAACGAAAAATAAACCTCTTGGAATTTTTCATCTGATATTTTCATTGATACAAACGTTAAACCTACAAACCAATTTTTCTTAAAAACAACGTTTAAGATATTAAATAAAAAAAATATATCATATTCGTGTATGTTTAGGATTTACAGTTAATTTTTTTCTTTGCTCTAGATCTGCCCTTGAATTTTAAGGTGTCCGATAAATATTTGTGTAATGTTGGCCGAGATTATCTTGCTAAATGGTACAAATTTAGTCATCTGACCTTGGAGTAAACAGTAGTTTGCTTGAATACAGGATAGCCTGCGGGATAAACTAGTATTAGAATATTGGAAATTACTCTAAGTATGAAGATTGAATCAAATTATGCACTGGCCTTCGAAAGTTTTAGACCAAATACATGAATTTATTATATACATCTATTGGAAGTCTGGCTAGCAGCATGTTTTATTATTTGTTCTTGAGGAATTTGAGGATTGAAAGATAAGTTATTACGTTTTCGCAGGTGATATATTACAGAAAAATTACCGCTTTAAGCTGAAAAGGTCAATGCAAATTTACTAAGGTCAATGCAAATTTACAAAGATATGAGAGGATAAAGTTATGATAACATACACGTGGCTAAGTAAGAATAGTTTCATCTAATTAACATTTGTATAAGTTGACAAAGCAAGACATTGTACTTCAGCATTACTTTGATATTTACAATAACATCATGGCTAAAGTTTCTTCTGAAACAAAGATGTAGGTTTTGAATTTCAAGGGAATATGACATAACAACAGTTAATCGGACGGCTTGGAATATCCAAAAACTATCCCAAGAAAGAGATGGAAGAAAGATTGTCTCGGTAGGCAAACCAAAAATTTTAAAAAGTCAGATGATTGACTAATGAATGCAGTCCTAACAGTGAGTTCTCACTTAATGTAGTCCTAACAGTGAGTTCTCACTTAATGTAGTCCTAACAGTGAGTTCTCACTTAATGTAGTCCTAACAGTGAGTTCTCACTTAATGTAGTCCTAACAGTGAGTTCTCACTTAATGTAGTCCTAACAGTGAGTTCTCACTTAATACAGTACACAGATTATTTTAAAATATCTTGATTGGCTGTTCATTAAAATTGCAGCACACTGAATATGTTTCAAATTAAATCACATAGAATTTACAAATAATATGGCAGGTTTTAATTATACATCTGGAAAAATTATAACCTTTAATTAATGAATGAAAATAATACATATACGTGTTTATAAACAATACAGAGATCGCTCATTAATACACTTTGCATCCTCCTTGAGATTTAACTCAAGACTCGCATGCATACAGTGGTACGGATAGTGAATAGCATTTTGCGATACATTATCCTACGCCCGTTAAAAGATTACTGCAAGGCATTTAGGCAGACGAAGGAAAGAAGCCTGGCTACACTTCACCATTTCTGTTTTCTATTCACCGATGGACAGATCATTCGAATGGTATAGTTGAAAATTCCAAATATCTTGTGGGACATGTCGTGTAGCACAGGCATCATCACCATGTTATTATTATTCGGGAAGAGCATAGCTTCTAGTTAAATAAAATATCAGCAGATCCGATGGGAATTGCCATTCACCAGTTTTCAAGGCACAAGATAATTACACGAATTATTGGTGTTATATAGTCAATGAAAAGTTTAAGTACAAGCTTACTTAAATGTAATATTGACGTAAGTAAACTATTATTACGCTGTGCGTTGATATACTTGATGTCATGTATGCTGTGGATCTTGTGGGGTCTGCCATTGAGTGAGTCAGGTTAAAAATTGAAACCAACAAAAATAATAATGCCAAAAATATCAGCGCATGCGACATCAATGAGAGAATAAAAGAAAAATGCAGACATCATTGCTACTAAGAAAAAACTAACTCATTTCACAAAGTAGACAGTAAGGAAAAGTTTCCAGTAAGAAAAAAATCAAATAGAGACTAAATAATTAAACAGTAGGAATAATGATGAAATTGTGCAACTTGAAATTACGGTGAAGTTGTCTTTTTCTGAAAACTAGATAATATAACAATGCCTTATATTAACAGCATGTATCATTATGTATTTGTCTATTAAGTAGCCAGATATTAAGATTTTGATATTGAAATATCCCATTACACTAACATGGTAAATCGCCCGACTCCAACAGGCAAACATGCCAAATGCATCCAAAACAATAAAATCACATTAGTAACTATTCATAAAATTCTCTATTACATTGTATTTAGTTTGCATATTCTACTTTTGACAAATAAAAAACAGTATGAATTTCGGATGCTATAATAAAATTAATTGTTGGTATATATAATACGGTTCTGTACAGAACAGATAGGCAGCACTCTGCTGTGATTAAACTTACTCGCATTCTTGTTATAAATAACGATCGATGCATAAGAAAATAGTCTCATATTTTAGGTTTTATATGCAAGAACACATTCACATGCACACGTGCGCACACACACACATACACACACGCACACACATAGATAGATAGATAGATAGATAGATAGATAGATAGATATGTGTGGATAGAAACTAAATAACGAAATATTAGCAACTGAATATGCATGCAATAGCGTGCATATACAGGTAGGCAAATAAAAATTTATTTAGTTTATGGTGAAAATAAAACACTGGTCGGTAAAGAGACGACGAATTTATCCTCCTAGTTAACACCAACCCACAACTAATAGATCGAATTAGAAAAGATTTTATCAAATCCTTCAGTGATCATGGAATAAATATCCCCACTAAAACTAATCTCAATGTGATTAAGTTTCTGGTCACTACTTTTGACCTCTCCAAAGGAATATACATGCCTTATACTAAATCACTTTATAAACATAAATACATTAGCAATGAATTCAACCAACCAACAATTATATATATATCAATTTTAAACAACTGCACACACCCGTGCCAATACAAACTCTCAAGTAACTCTAGCAACAAAGATATTTCTGACAAATATAAAACTAAATATGTACATGCAGTAGAAAAAAAGTAAACATAAAGTTAAACTATAATACATTAATATTAATTAGAAAGACAACAATAAGGATAAGAAAAAAACAATATAATTTTGTTTAACGTACCATATAAGAAAAATACCAAAACCAACATTGGTAAAATTTTCCGCAATTTAATCCACAATATTTCAGCCATATTAAACAAATATTTAAACAATAACAGTAGCAATATTAATACTGACAAACAGTATCCACTAAATCATAAATGTATAAAAAAAGGCGTTATTTACAAGGCTAGCATTGAACATAGTGGGGTGATTTGGGCTCAAACTTCAAGCACTGGAAAACGCGGTATTACCATCATAAAATGACACTGACTAATAAACATTATTCAAATGACACGACACTCTACGAATTTTACTGAGAAATTAAAAAAGATAATTACACACCGGTAGTAAACTGGAATTTTATCGCTAAAATCACAGACTTTAGCGGCCGAGGCGATAAATGTAACATTTGTTTATTAGAGAAACGATTCATCCATCCTCAAATACATTAATATCACCAACCTACTGAACAAACGAAACGTACTTAGCATGGATTCATAGGAAAAAGCTCTCTTTTAAAGTATTTTTGATTCTGGTTAGAACAATTAAGCCATAAACGTCTGTTTTAATATTTTCATCTGTCCCTTATATTTTTGTTACACATTGATTACTCCCCTTACATACTTACAACAATCTATTGATAACATACCGGACAACGCGGCGTTATTTATTTTATTTATTTTTTCCTTTTCCTTTTTCATATTTTCTAACCTCATTTGTGAATGTACACGTTTTTGTTTTTAACTTACATTCTAATATTAATAAACATTAACCCTATGTACAGTGCAATGCTACTGTCTTGAAACAGAGATTACTTATAAACATACGTACATTCACCACGTCCACACCCACATCATAATCAAATGGCTTATTACTTACGCGTTACAATTCCTAACATTTTTTTAAACCATTTCACACAATACCCAATCATTGGTGCATTTTTTTGCTTTTGTTTCTTTCTCCCCATCGGAAAAAATCTTGTACCATATAAACTTAAAGTATGCACTATTTTTTCCTGATATCTTCCCACCTACTTTCTATATTTTGATTTTATACTCCAGTAGTATATTAAGTTTATAATAACTTTGATTTTTGAATCTGTATACAATTTAGCGTTCCCATCATGAGACCCACATTTTAAAATAACAACTGTATTAAGTGGCTTATTCACAAATTTGTGCCTGACTAGTTGGTAAATTATGGAAATCTGCGTTGACCGATAAACCTAGTTATATATATATATATATATATATATATATATATATATATATATATATATATATATATATGCATTTTCATTAAAAACGACAGACAAGGTACTACGGTTAAGCTTTTTATTTAATATTGCTTGTGTTCGCATAAGAGCTTTCCTTTCTGGACAAAGAATGTGTAAAAACTGTTTTATAGTTCCAAGCGCTTTCGGCTGTACCTTTAGCCATTATCAAGGATGATTCAATTTTTCAGCTTAATTGAGTGTGTGCATCATGTGTATGTTTTACTGTGTTGTAGAGATGTTTTTAATTTCCGAATACGGTTAGCACATTGTGACCTTGTTCGTAGTTTATATTGTTAAGAGTTGGCTTTTCCTTTTTTATTATTAAAGCTTCCATTATTTTTAATCTTTTTTTTACTAGTGGATGAAATTATTATATTAGTGTTTTTTACTAATATGTTTCTAATGAAGTCTGGTAAGCGGTTCTTCAAGCCTTCGCCTTTGAGGAGGTCTCTCAGGTCTGGGTGAACTGCTATATCTCCACACGCAGCAAGTTGGCATAGTGACTGGTGTAGAATTTCAATCTCAGTAGTGAAATTGTGAGTAATCTACTGCAATGGAAATCTAACCATGGCGCAAGACGATCAGGTCGCCCAGCAACCGCTTACATTAAACAGCTAAATTATGGAACAGAATGGCACCCTTATGACAACCCAACCTTGAAACTGGGCCATGATTGTTGGTGTGATAGACTGATGAAACTGACAGAATAATATATATATATATATATATATATATATATATATATATATATATATATATATATATATATATATGCATGCGTACATACTTACGTACATATATTTATACATATGTGCATATATGACTAAGAATGTTTAGACATTTAAATAGTCGATCCTACAACGAGTGATTATGGTCGATTGATTTTGTCTGATATTCTACGGACAATTTTCTGCTGCAATCAACTACGGAAAGATCATTTTGTTTGTTTATATTTGTTCAAATGACAAATAATATCATCTTCTTAATAAATGTTTATTTGTAGTTTGTGTTATTTAATCTGTGTACGAACGTCATTTTGCTTGAGATTTGAAAATTGCTAATTATATTTTGACGTGTAGCCCGTTTCTTGTCATATTCTTATATGACTGTAATATGACAGGTTCTTCTATTCTTGAAGACTGAATCATGGCGTATTGACAATTTCTGTTATTTTGTTCTACCTCTTCCCTTTTCCCGAAAAGGTCTAATGTACACCCGGATTATAAATAATGTTTAGATCATCAATGAATAAAATAATTGCAGGCTAATCAATGTTCATTTTGCAAAACATTATCCACGATCTGATATACTACATTTTTATTTATAAATCAGGTTTACGAGAAAACTAGCAAGTAGGGAACTTTTGCTATTGCTCTCGTACTCAGTAAACCGAAAAAATGTTGGCTGCTTCCATTTCTGCAAAAATGTCCTTAGTAAAGTTTCCTCGGCTACGTGTTATATAGCGAGGTACACTGGATCCTGAATCCTTGAGTCGAGAAGGAAACGGAAAACCACAACTTCTATGTGCGATGTCTCCTCAGTACGTGAGCGATCAAGGTTCTAAAGTATCTCCACAATTTCTTTACTATATTTGACAAATAATAAAGAAAATGTTTTCGGAAAGTGTCTATAGTCAGAACGGACATAGAATGTTATTGAGCATTTATCTGTGAAAGAAAAATGCAAGTTTTTGTTAACTTTGAAACACCCGACTTATTTATTTAAATCAAAACATTATCTATTAAAAATGGCCTTACTTTAACTGCCTGCATTCACATAAACGATACGGTGGCAACTGCGAAAATATATAATTAAATTAAAGTTGAAATATATGTTTGGATAGGTTAGAGTTCTTGAACTTAGTTATTAAAATTTTCCAATAACCTATATGTGGTGTAAAGATCGAATTTTACTCTGGAGATCGCCTACTAGAACGTATAGTAAGCTGAAAATATTACATTCAAATGCTAGAACTTGAACCTGTTATTTTCGCTGGCGTCTCCAAAACATTTTAATAATAAAGAAAATTATCCCAATTATGGTAATTGTATATCTTAATATACAACCCAGTGTGTCTGAAAAATAATTTAATATTTTTATTCTTCAAAACACACACATATATATATATATATATATATATATATATATATATATATATATATATATATATATATATATATGTTTTGAACAATAAAATATTTAAAAAAAAAAATTTTTTGTTCATTATTTCAATTAGGGCCCCCCTACTAGTTTCGGACAGCATGGCCATCATCACGAGAAAAAAAGCAGTGAACTACAGGAGTAAATAACTCTTTATGGAGAAAATGCAATTTTATCTGTAGTTTTCATTTGTTTTTATCGTTAATTTTAATCGGTCCTTGTGTTAGTCAAACGGCCTCTTTTTAGATGTTTTTAAAATAGATGCTGGGGAGATTCATGTGTTGCAGAATTCCCTTCTTGATCATTTTGACAGTTTTATTGGTTGCTGGGAGTGTGTGTGATTGTTAAGTGTATCCTAACTTTTTGTTTTTGCTAGAGTGTATGATGTCTGTAAGTCTATATATTTGTATAAGTGTGTGTATAAGTGTGAGACGTCAACACGTCTGCAAGCATGTGTGTCTTGTGAGGGTAAGAAATGTGGGTAGGGCGTTATTTATTGGGTTATATATATATATATATTCTGTTGCTAAATTAGTGGTTAATCCCGTCCAGACAAATTGATTTGTCTTCATGTTCATCTAGTATTTTTATAATCGTATTTTTCCTGTCTATATCTATTTTTTCAATGATAGTGAATTTGGCATGGCTTTAAAAGCATGTTTTCCTAGGCATGTTGTTCTACTGGTAATAATCTTTCGTGAGGAGCCGACTTGATCCGATTACGATAATTATTAATTCTGTATTAAAAGGGCCATTCAGATTTTCCTACATATTGTTTCTGGTATAGTGAGCATTGTAATAGGTAAATTATGTTATGACTTCTACAGTTAGAGTTGTGGTAGATTTTGAAAGTAGATTTAGTGACTGAGATTGTGAGCAAATTGATAGGTCTAATATGGTTACAACATAAGCACCATTTGTTGTTACATGTTTAGAATAATGTTGTTTTTTTTATTTGTCTACTACTGGTTACCTTATTATCTGAAATTTGTTTACTATCTATAATTTCCCGAAGGTTCTTAGGTCTACGATATGCTAGAATGCCGGCTTCCTCAAACAAAATTTTTAGGTCTTGTTAGAGATGTAGCATTTTCAAGCGACATTGGATTATCTGAGATAGTGGAGGAATAGTGGTGTTGAAAGTGGTTACCAGAGGGATGCGTCTTGTTTTATTTTTCATTTAATACATTAGGGCGTCTTCTCTAGGCGTGGGAATGGATTTATTTATTTGTTCTCTGATTAGGTGCTGTTTATAGTAACATGATATGAATTGATGATCGAGATATTATTGTGCTTATTTAGTTC